CTGCACTTAAGCTTAGATAAAGCTATGTAAATTATTATCAGATTGAAATGAATTCTGAAATGCACCCTTTTGGAAAAAACAAGACAAGCGAGCCAGCAAGACGCTGAATCTTCAAACTGGTTTAAATTGGTTTGGCTCCACTGATTCTCATAAAGCAAATCTCATTTATACAAGCTGAGGCTGTGGCTCGTGATTTGTGATTTGAACCATTTGTTAATGGTCTCCCTTTATTTATGAACAAAAGCTTCCATCATCATCTAAAATGCTTGTTCCTCTAGTCCATCGTTTTGTTTAACTGAGAAATGATGCCGCAATTCAGCACTGTAGCCAAGTAAACTGTTCAGTAATGTGTTCTGCATTACATCTTCAATTAAGTTTTGCCCTATAATTCTCTAAATTCTTCTACGCCACAGATATAAAACCTAAAATGGTCTTTTCAGCTACTTCCAAAGTGAGGAAGCAAAAGTAATACAGCAAGTTAAATCTTACAAATAGAGATGGAAATAATTCCAAGCAACATCACTGTGAAGTTTTAAAATGGGCTGCATCACCAGGCAATTGAAAGCTAAACGCAAACAGCATAACTTCCCTGACACATTCCTGAAACTTTATCATTTTCTGTGCGCCGTAATAACGTATGAAGAAATTACTGGTAAATGCAGGAAATGAGGACCCCTCATAGTCGCAACAAAACCTATAGAAGCATCAGAGCAACTTACCTTGTACGGTGATCCTCCACAGGGATCGCTCTCCTCTGGCCCGCACGCGTCTCCCTCCTTCGCAGCGATCATGCCAGCCAGGCAGCTGTTCTCCTTTACGGTGGAGACGCAACACTGCTTCTGAGCAATTCTGCAAAGGATCACGGAGGTCAAGTGTTCACTGACATGGAGAAGGCATCAGGATGGGATGCAAAAACCCTCAGACCTCTTGGATTCACAATCCATTACACAGATTTGATCTCTCTTTAACATGTGTGTCAATACCAGGATAACAGTTGGCACCACTGGCGTCTGCAGGATAATTTTTTTTCTCATTTCTAATAAAAAAGATGCATTGATAAATGCTCAAGAAATCTTGTGCCTAGGTTACTGTCTCTCAAAGTCTGGTCAGCAATACCCCTTACAGCTCATCTATATTTGTGCAGTAGTCATTCTTCCCCGTGTTTTGCTTCTCAGAAGTCTTCGGAAGGTTTCAGAAACAGAAAACAGACAGAAACCTTCTTCCCTGGGAAGTAGGGAAGCACCCGTACACACTTCTTCACCAGTCAGAGGACTGGAGCTCTGGACAGGACTTAAGGGAAGTGTCACATCACAAAACCCCTATAAACTCTCCTCTATAGCCCCACAGACTGTAACCCAGAATTTAAGCTCTCCTCTAACTTCCCTCATCAATGAGAAGGTTATGGTTGACTTGATCCCTGTATATGAAGTGCTTTGTGAACATACATTTCCTATAGATGGCTCTTCAAATCAAACATTTTAACAAGATTCACTGAAGGTTGAAATTAAACCGATGAAAGATCTAGATGACAAATTCCTAAATTAAATTTAATAGACATTTATTGAAATAATAAAACACTCTTCCCTACTATTTTAAAGTCTATAGTGGATTTCCCCTCTGCCCCTTCAACAAGGTACCTGCTTCTTTCATTCCCATAGAAAAGGACAGACAAAATCACACAGTCCCTTGGGCTTTACTCCACGACCCCGACTCTCAACCCATGCAGTGTGGAGACCGGCTGCGCCCCAGGAGGGGTGCGTGTCTGGTCCTGGGACAGGGAAGGGCCCCTGTGATGGGGAAGGGCAAGGACTGAGAGCTGCAGGCCATAAGAAATCTCCTGCAGGGGTTATGTCCAGTACGTGACCTGCAGATTGGACATAGGTGACGTGGATGAACACGTTAAAACTCCGATGAAATCATATGTTATGAGTAAGGGTAAATTTCTGTTCTGGAGAGATTTGGTGGCATGAAGTATTCAAGCAAAGTTTTTCTTTTTCCAAGAATAACCCTGACACCTCGCTATCTTCTGCTGACGCACTGTCACAAGGCACACTGCCTTACAGGTACCCTGGCAGCGGCGAAGGGGAGGTTGGTGCATTTTAGCAGCCAGTGCCGCAGAGCAAAGCAGTTCTCCTGCAACAGAACCACTGCAAGCAAGCAACTTTTGTCACTCAGATACCATTGTTACTGCAAGAAAATACAGTTGTCCTAAGAAACAAAAACTCTTCTGAGAAGAATGTATTTCCAACTCAACCTTTCATCCTAATGCTTCATTAAAAAAAAAAAAAAAGAAAAGAAAAAAAAAGACAGGGATGTCTCTTATTCCAGTAGAAACCAGCCAGTGGCAGCCACTTGGCCACCTTCCCAATACCAATGGCCTGTTGTGTCAGCTTTACGTTAATATTTTTAAGCTGGATAGCACGAGAGGTGTAACCAGGAAGCAGTGGTTTGAGTTTGTTTACAGGAAGGGGATTACCACCTCCATGTGCTTTGCTTTCAAAGAAGTTAGTTTTCCAGTCCAGTATTAATTGCCAAACGGGGAAATCCAATTTTTTGAGCAATGAATGGTTATTACCCAAATATATTCAAGTTCCAGTGACTTATTGCTTACGTAAGACATACAAGCTTTCATTAAAAAATTAAAAAAAAACCTAACTGAAAGTTATTATCATTTGTAGAAATTAAAAAATGCTGCTGGAAGCATTTTTACATGTGCAAAGTGTTTACTGAAGTCTCTACAGATTCACTTTCTTCTGAAATGGGACATTCAGCCATGAGAAATTCCTTTCACGTATGAAACACCTAGTAGAAACAGTACTGTCTGGAGCATTGGGGTATCACTGGCCATTTTTTATTTTAGTATTTCTTTAACTGTATCAGCACAGCTCAGTTTCAGCTACTCAACCAAAAAATGAATCGGGAACAAACAGTGTTAACCACATTCTCTTGTTTCTTCTTCACAGACTTGCTCTTAGCAGTCCAGGTTAAGTTCTTCATTGAAAGAAGATTCAGAACATTTCTGCTTTAGGGCAAGAGTTTCTCAGTTAAAATCAGTGAAATTAGGTCAATGTAAGGCTCTAATTCAGACACAGTGTCAGCAAAAAGCAGGATTCACACCAGTACAGCTGATGCAGATGCCATCCAGATAGCCATTGCTCTGTTATGATAAAACACATTTCAAGGATGAGATAAAAACCACTGGACTGGATCAGATGAGATTTCATCTAGGCCAGCATCCCACTTCTCATACAGCCAGTGGAACAAGCTTTTTACATCTATCAATTGACTATCTCAGGATTTCCTGTAACTTGCTTCATTTTAACTTAATTCATCTAGTTCTGACACATGATCTCTTTTAGGTACTCCCAACTGCAGCAAACTCCTCTGTGGCAGAAGTCATTTCTGGGTAACTTGCTATTGTTTCTTAACAGTACCATTGTGTCTGTACCATCAAAGGAAACGAGTCGCATTTTAAAAAGAGCTCTGATGAGCAAGACTCGTTTCACTGGATGACATTTAAGAGGGCTGGAGAAATGGCAAAGATGGGAAAATTCATACTTCAGCATGGTGGGGTTTTGCAGATCAAAACAGCGTCCTCATGTCCCTGGCTGAGCAAGACCCCACGTCCGCTCAAAGAGTGAGACATCACACTTCACACACCACCCACCACTGTCTGTCTGCAGCCAAGCTCTGTGCGAACCCTGACCTGCACATTCCTACAGGCTTCTCCTGGCCTTGGCCATCATCTCAACACACCTCCCACCCTGCACCTAGCGTGGTGTGCCGAGTTGGTACGTGAATATAGAATGTCGAGAGACACCAACGAGTAGCTTTAACATTTCAGTTTCTGCCACTGAAAACCCCAAAACAGCATTTGGGAACAACAAACACCTCGATCTGCAACCTCTGTGTAAACCACCAGCAGCCTCAGCAGGCACAGGGGAGGCTTCGTCACTGGCCCCAGCTGAGAAAAAGGATCCTTCAGTGCACTGATGGCCACCCGTAAAACCCGAGTATTTACAGACAACTATCCTGGCAGAACAGTAACTGATTTTTACAATTAGTATCTATCGTATACTTTTAAAAATCTTGAGATACTGAGTGGAGTTAGTGGCAGACCCTTGGGAGCGTGTGCTACCTGCAGGCATTCTGGCACACAAAGCGGTGCGCTGGAGGTCTGGGTACGTGCACGGTGAGCAGCTCGGCACGCTGGCACATCTCCCCGTGCGACCGGTAAGGTTTTCTCTTGCTCTCAAGGTTCTGAGGCCACAGATTTGAATACTTCTTTACATGAAACATTTTCTTTACTCAGAAACAGGGACACAACTGAAATTTTGAAAGTAAACCAACTGAACTCCTGATCTTTTATTCTTTTAAATCCCAGTAGACTCACAGGGACTGAAACATTTAGGATCTGGCTTTTTCATCTAAACCCAGCCTCAGATGTGCAGGTGCAACTCATTAATGTATTGGATTTGCACCTACTTAGGCCAAAGCTGGAATTTTTTAATCTGTCTTTACTTTACAGACAGTTGGTATGTGTCAGTTATGTCATGCCAGATCCCAGTGGGGGGGATTTTCATCTCCCAGTAACTTCAGAAAGGTGCAACGATACTAACTTTGATGAAACCAATTAAGCCAAACTTTTTTTAATGCTGAAGATGTTGGGATCGCTCCTAGAGAAACCCATCTGGCTTGTGTTGCACTGTGTGTCTCGGACAACTTTGCCTTCATCCCTCCCTAAGGCCTGTTTCAGACTGGGGGGAGGCGAGAGGGGGGATGAACATTGTCCATGTTACTCTGCACCCATCCTTCTTTTCTTTGCAGTTTGAATCTGGCACCCTCACTCAGCCCAGATGCTACCGATACCAGCAGCACTATCGAGGCGCATAGTCCCCCTCCAGCTGAACACAGGCATCAGAACCAGCAGCCATGTATACTGGGTGATAAACACATCGTTTAACGAGATGGATAATAACTGCATTTAGCACTTGCCAAACAGAAGACAAACACGTTTAGCTACTCTGCCCTTCTATTTATCTGCAACTCCACAGATGTGCATGAAACTGGAAAACAAAAATTACTGCTCTGCTCACGTGAGAGAGGAAAAGAAACCGTAAAAGGCTTTTGTTTAGATTAGATGTGGGGGAAAGGGAGGAGGAAATCCTTCTTTCTAATTTGGTGTGAGGTATTGCCAGGCTGCCAACAATTTATACAATGAATGAAACAGTTCCCGGTCTCCTGGACGCCCCACAACTTGTACAATTTCTTCTCAAGGGTTGCTCTCTATGTTAACCTAAAATGCTCGGTTTTGCCTTACGTACCTGCAAATATCACCATCCATTCCACTTACAGGGATTTCTGTGCACTCCCCGTTGTCTATAGCCCACTGTTGTCCAGCTCCACAGCAGCTCTCAATCAATTCCTTTGTGGAACCTGTATAAAACAGACACCCAGATTTTTTTTTTTGTTTGGAATGGATTGGTTTTAGCTCTGCTTGCTTAATTGAGAAGATCTTTTAAATAATAATATTTCTGCTTTTTCTTCTTTTTTCTTTTTCTTTTTCTTTTTTTCCTTTTGACATTTCATTTGGTTACATACAAAAAAAAAAAAAAAAAAAAAGAGGCAACTGATACCTGCAGTATCTTGACATAATTGATCACCTGGTAATGTCTTTCAGGGAGGAACAGCAGAAGAAAAATAGAGTTTTAAACACAGTAAAAGACATAGCTGGTTTGAAAACAACTCCACCTTTGACATCTCTGAACCAAAAAAAACCCTGAAAAATCATGCTTGGCCACTTAACACAAGTTTAATAAGTCATTATTCTGCTGTAACAGTGCCCTCACTACCCCTACCCAGGCGAGCACAAAGGTGCCCAAGTACAGCTCACAACAACAAAACACAGCACAGGGAGTGCGCACAGGCTTGGCACGAGGCACACACCAGCCTCCGCAGTTCTACACCAAAGGGGACACATGAAGTTTCACTGACAAGTAACAACAAACTGAAACGCATTCCTTGTCATGGTCCCTTAGAGTTCCAGCATTTAGTGCTTTTAGTAGCTTTGACATACGCAGCATTAAAAAATAGTTCCCATAAGATAGGTTAAGAAATGTCACTGCTCCGAATTCCCAGAGTACATATACCTCGAGTGTCCTACAGCTGGATTTGAGGGTCCAGCTGGTTTAAAACCATAATGAAAAGGCTTTGAGAGACGTAACTCTGACTCTGCTAATGAGCTCATGGAAAAGGCCGGCACTAAGATGTAGTAAAAGAGATGGACATGTAGAACGCGGCACGAGTTTTTACATTTTTCCTTGTGGATTGCCACTTCAGATGGAAATTTTCAGGTTACAGTGAAACACGACTGAAACTAGTGGCTTTTCAATATGCTCCATACCTACCGTATAGAACAGACCCCGGTCACGTTAGACTGGGCAGAAAGTATTTTTTGGAGTCTGCACGAAAGTTTACTTCATGGTGGGACGTTTGCCACGCCTCTGGGGTGCGAACACCAACCAGACAGTACCACAAGCCAACTGGAGTGGTGCTGCAGGGCAGGGCAGCAGCTGGCAAGCGCTGTGCTGTGTCATCGGGAAGGTTTCTCCTGGGATTTCTCACGCAGAGGATGGGCTCCATCACACAAAGCACGGGGCCTCCCCCTTGCCAGCCAGCGGCTCTGCAGCAGGAACAGTTACACAGGTACCAGGTAAGAAAATGATTGAGAGATGCCTTTGAGAGAGACGCGAGGTGCATCGCAAGTGCTCGGGGGCTGCGGGTTCACAGTATGGATGTACATGTCAGTACACATCACAAGGAAGGTACAGCAGACCGCAGAGAGGCCATGGCCCCGGGCTGATGAGCTGGAGCAGCACCTGCCCTCTCCCTTGGCTCATCAGAAGTGCTCCAGTTCCTTTTAAAGCCGTTCATACGGATATAAGGAACATTCTGTGCATTTTATTCATCCTTCCAGGCCAGTCTCTGGCATCGGTTGGTGTTACCACTCAGAGGAAACAAGACAAAACCGCCCTGAAGTTGAGTTGTGGGAGAAGTGTGGGTGCACAGCTGGGCACTCCCTGCCCAACCACACTGCAGAGCAAGGTGTTTTCAAGAACCCTCAGCAGCTTTTAGGTACCTCCCTCCTGAATCAGTTCTGCTTACAGAGGGAGGCGGGAACCTCTCTCTCTACAAGGACTTCAGGAAGATCGCCATTGCTGCAGAAGGGCACTGCTGAAGGTGCAGTGCTCTCCTGACAAGACTTGGCAACAAAGCTGAACATTTGGAAGCCAGTCTCTGCCGGACTGGCCTTGCCCAACTGATCTGTCGGGGAGCTGCGTTCAGGCTGACAGGAGGGACTCCGCAGCCAACCCATCCGAACCAAGACTCCTCTCCACCTGCATGTTATCACCACTGTTAGATGGCAGCTTCTCCAATAGGCCAGATTTGATGAAAAAGTTAACAGGATCCTTTCTTTTGTCTGCATTTGGTACATGGTACCAAGTCAAATAATTTTTCTTTGCAAAATTGTAACACTTATAGTGTGAGACATTTTTAGAAATGGCTACAATTCAAAACATCTGGGTATGCACACTGCACAATTCAGAAGAAACAGAGACAGCCTCCGCGACCAGCACATTTCTGCTGCCATCTATTTACAGCAGCTATTCTGTGTTTCAAACAATAGTAGAAGAACTTTGTATAGTCTCTTGTAGAGCTAAGTAGTTGTTAGATATCAAGGGTAAGAAGTTTAAGTGAAGTGTAGTGCTACCTTCAATGTTAAAAAATATTGGCACTTACACAAATAACACAAACCTCCTCAGCAGAACGCTATTCCTTTATACTTGTTACAGTTAATTTAGGAGATAATATTACAGTTTGGAAAGTGGAAAGTTCTCATCACCAGCATAGCTTGCTTTATAAAAACAACTAGAAAAATTCAACACACACAATATATACTGCCTGCGATCATGACTGACCAAGATCTCATGGGAGAAAAATTACCAAATTCCATTTCCCTCTGTGTTTTTGACCCCCGCCAGGGTTCATTTCACACGCTCCACAGCAGTGCCTTAGCAACCATCAGTTTGATTTGGCCGAGCAGTGCTGACCACTCTGACAGCCAGGTGAAACACAGTTTGGGGGACAGTCTTGCAATCCGATTACACTGCAGCACCAAGGATAGGTAGGATTGCCCCCGCTCCTCCCGCGGAGAGGAGGGGGTCTCCACGGGGGCTGCTGTCTCACGCTCTCCTCCCGGCTGTGCAGTGGGTCTGCAGGAACGTTGTTTCCAACACAGAGTCCAGCCTCGCAGGCAGATGGGAGCACTGTGCATTTCCAAACCATGCCTCTTGGTAAATCTATTGCCACTTTTAATTACATTACGTTTTTCACTAAAAAAACCCCACCACCCCAAGCCCTGCACCACCACCGCCCGCCTGCCCAAACCCTGCAGAACCACCACCCCAAACCCCACACCACCACCCCACACCACCACCACCCGGCTGCCGTTCTGCCCAGCCTTTCCACATTTTTTTATCTTCTCTCATCCATCAACAGTAACTCCAAAAAAGCAGTAACCGTTTTGACAGTTGACACTAAGAGGGCGAGTTGGTCTTCCAGGCCCACCCTTTCTGTGCCCACAAACTCCAGCTGTGTGACTCCATGAGGTCACAAAGAGAAGGGGAGCGGTGTTATGGCAGGTGAATGTGCTGCAGAAAAAAATCTCATGCACCACGAAGACTGCAGACAAGATTGTGGCACAGGGAGCTTCATCTCTACCCTACATCCTTATTTATATGGTGGGGAAGAAAAAAAAAAAAAAAAAAGGAGTGAGGAAAGAAAGAAGGTGCACTTCACACTTTTGTAAATTTTACTTTCTTTAAGGCTTTGGGGAGACACAACCCCAAACAGACGCGAAGCCATCACACCCTCGCCCTGTGCAGCCCAGCTGAAAAGGGGTTTTGCTGACCGGAGCCATGGCTGTCCCCCCAGGTTGCACATCCATGCTCACACACAAGGGCACCAAGCACAGAAACAAACTGCAACTGGACTGCAGTCTGGGCAGTGCTTCCACTTTGTAGCAGCATATTAACAATGTTAAAAATGTACTTGAGTCTTGAAAGCTGTACTACGCGTAAGAGTTGCATTAAACACATCTGGTACCAGATAATCACGAAACATTGCTATAAAACAGTTTTTCAAGATAGTGTTAATTCAGCCCCTTGGTGGAAACTCCATTTTACCAAGTGCTGGAACACATCGGTTGCTACAGTACTGCCAGGTTTAAAACACAAGAATACAGTAGAATTTACTCATCTACATTGCAGTAATCAACATGATTTATAATTCAAATAAAAATTAATTACTCATTCCTCACTAAAGATGCTATATCAGATTGCTGTACTGAAGTGCCACACTGTTAAGCAGTCATCTTTACAAAATATATTGCCTTTTATTATGATCTTATGAATAATTAAATCTAGAATGCAGCTATAATAAAATGAACAAAGTATTGCATTTTATCTCAACTAGGAACTAGAAAAAACATATAATTCCTAATAGGACTAACAGTCATGAGCATGGATTTATGATCTTTTGATTATACATTAGCAAGAACAAATATATACAACTAGACACATGCATGAGACTGAAGATCACACAGCTTCTATACTGGATGAAGACTAAACTGTAACAGACTTTGAAACACTTAAACATTCAAACTGTTATCAACAAAGGCACTTTTGCGACTTCAAAAAAAGTTAAGATTTTATTTTGTTCATAGGTGGAGAATAAGCAAGCAGCGCTGGGCGCGAGGGGAGCATCTGCTCTACCAACAGGCGAACCTTTCCACAAAACCTACCCTCTATTTATTCCCCGAAACGTTGCATATCCATTAAGTTTCATAATACATTCATTCACATTCATTTCCTAGCCCCGCTTCGTATTATAATTAGCTAAAAAGTCCTTCTGCGCCTGCGCAGTGCTCTCTGGTAGTTGTATGGTGGTCGATGGGATGAAGTAAAACAAGTCTTCCTCGGAGGTGAACTTTTTCACCTTGCCACAGTCCAAAGGGCCAGGAGGGTTTTCAGCCAGTTTTAGGGGTCCGAGGAGTCTCCTTTATCTCGCGGCCTTGCGGGTGTTGCATTCTCTCGTTTTGATTAGCAGTTCCTTCCCCTATCATCACAGCTTTCATCCTCTCATCCTGTCTTCTCTGTTTCTTCCATCCAATTTCTGCTGGCAAACTGTAGTTATTTAGAACTGGAATCATGGGGGGAAGAGGGGATGCTTGAGAAATTCCAGGAGGAATTTACTTCTCCATCAGTGTTTGGAATGTGATTTCATACACTCTGGAGGGGGTGGGGGAAGAAAAGCTGTCTCAAAACCCATTTGTGTTAATGTACGGGTACATACATCAACGTTCATAGAGAAATAAG